TTTATAATGAATTTTAATAATTTTTTCGGATTGTTTTGAAGCTTTAATCCGACCAATTCAGCCGATTCCCGACCCGGATCGTCGATTCACCGATTTGGATAGGTTTTTGAGATGCCCGATCCGGGTCACCGATCCGCTTTTTAAACCATTGGTTGGAACAGGAAGATGGGGAACTAATAAATTTAGGGAGCAAGAGAGGGAACAGGAGCCTCATAAGGACTGAGAAGGTATTTATGGACAAGAATTTCGTAAGGAATGCCAAACATGGAAAGTGGAGCATCACCATCCAGGCATTGTATATAGAGTTTTACTTGGCCTCTTTGTTCTCACACCATCCAAGTAAAAACCTCTCATCTCAGAGTGATGACCGTATTGTGAATACATTTGTTTGTCTCTTTGTTAGGAAGAAGACACTGAATTGATTGAAAATGAAGAACATATACCAGTTACATCTGTACAAGAATTGAGAAGATCCACATGCCCTCACAAGCCCACACAAAGGTACTCTCCTTCCTTATATACTGATGATGATGAACTTGAGTCTTTTGAAGAGGCTATTTATTGTCCTAATGATGAGGAACAGATGGATACTTTGCACAAGAATCGTACATGGAAGGTGGTGGAACTTCCACAGGGGAGCAAAACATTAAAGAATAGATGAATGTAGGCATTAACTAGGAGGCAAATGGTATTATACGACATAAGGTCAGACTTGTGGTGAAAGGCTATGGGCAAAAACTATGTGTTGATTTTAATGAAATTTTTTGCTCTTATTGTTATGCATAGCTCTATTTGAGTTGTTTTATCTTTGATTACTAACTTGAATTTGGGGTTAGAACAATTGAATATCATAAATGCCTTCTTGCATTGTGATCTTGGAAGAAATTTTTATGTGTTAAACTGAAGGTTTGGAGGACAAAACCAATACTTTCTCGGTTTGCAAGTTGAAAAAAGGATTATATGTTTTGAAGCAAGCATCTAGGCAATGGTATAAGAAATTAGACAACTTTTTGCAAGATGAAGGTTATACTAGATGTGAATTCTATCATTGTGTGTACTTCAGACATGATTTTTTTGTTGTTTTACTGCTCTATGTCGATCAAGCATTTGAAGCTTGATATGTCCAAACATTTTGCCACCAAGGACCTTGGACCAACCTAGTAGATATTGGGCATGCACATTCACAGAGATATAAAGCAAGATAAGCTTTAGTTGAGTCAATCTGAATACATTTCTAAAATTCTTGAGTGCTTTAATATGATTGACAATAAACTTGTTCCTACACCATTAGCTGCACATTTTAAGTTGTCTAAAAATGACTCTCAAATTATCGAGGTAGATAAAAGCAAGATGAAAAATGCTCCATATACTTTTGCAAGGGGTAGTTCGATGTATGCAATGGTTTGTATGCAGTGGGAGTTGTTTCTATATATGGCTTATCCAGGTTGAGAACTTTGGCAAGCAGCGAAGTGGATCCTTCGGTATTTGAAGGGGGCACAAAATGTACGTCTATGCTTTGAAAATTCAACTTTGGAAGTTGTTGATTTTGTAGATACAGATTATGCTAAGGTGCCATGAGACTAGAAGATCCACTATTGGCAACATTTTCAAGTTTGGTGGTGGTGCAGTCAACTGGATGTCAAGGTTGCATATATTATTTCCTTGTCATCAACGGAACTTGAGTATGTTACATTGACAAACGCAACAAAAGAAATGATTTCGTTGAGGAGATTACTTGACCAGAAGATAAATATGTCATACCTTGTTAGTGGTTAGACACTACTTCATTCGATTAGCCCTGGAACATAAGGATTTGCAAATGGATAAGATCAACACTGAGAAGAACCTCTTTGATGTATTGGCAATAGTTGTTTCAACTGAGAAGAATAAGATGTGTAGAAGGTTTTTAAAATTGGAGGAGACATAACCTCAAGGAGATGGAGAATGGTGCATGTGTGGTTGCTTTTGAGGCTTGGTGACTTGTCTTCAAGTGGGAGATATTATATGTCTGAATCCAAATCACACACAAGGGTTGTTTAGATCCATTGGATTGAAACTAATCCAATGATTGTGGTGCTTTGAAATTACCATGTTAAAGGGGGTTTTGTCATTTGTTTTAGTAAAAGAGAAGAAATGGAAAAAAAAATAGAATAGAGATCACAACGGATTTTTATTCCCTATTTATGTGCCTAACCTTCTAGAGAGAGAAAGTGAAAAAAGAGGGTCATCTTGTTGGGTTTTGAATCCCTATTGCAGGCCCTTTTCTAGTGAGAGAAAGAGTCAAGAGAAAACCCATTTTTGTTGTATTTGGTGTCCTCAATTCGACATTGTTTTAAAGAAAGAAGGTTGTTGTAATTTAATGTTTTGAACCTTGTTTTCTTTCTAATATCATTGAATCAGTATGTAAAGCCTCACACCGTTCTCCCGTGGATATAGGTTACAATTTGTGGCTGAACAATGTTAAATGTTGTGTTGTTTGATGGTTAATTGCATTCCCACGCTTTTTTACATTGTTGTCTTGATTGTATGAAATTTCATATTGTGTTTCCACTTCATGTGTATGTAGATTTGTGTTTGGTGCCTGATTTTGGGCCCTGGTCTGGAGAGAGAGAGTAAAGGGAATGGATCATCACCTCCATCAACATCATCTTGAGCATGAAGTTGAATTTTTTGTATTTTCCGAGGTGAAACAATGGGATCTCAAACTTGCATATCTACAACAAGTCTCTCTTGCTTTGGCTCTTCTTACTTCTTTTAAGCAAATATTACATTCTCATTAAAGAGAACATCACATTCTCATTAAAGAGAACATCCCTACTCCTTATGGTCTTCTTTGCAATAGCATCCCAAAGCCTATAGCCTCTATCATCACTATCATATCTAAGAAAGTACGTGTTCTTGACTGTCAATCCATCTTTGTTCTATTTACAATTGACGCTTGAACATAAACTTCACACCGAAATGTTCAAGTGATCATATGACACACTTTTATCGCTCCAAAGAATTTAAGGTATTTTAGCATTCAAGGGTGCACTAGGAGATATATTGATCAAATATACAATTCTAACAATAGCTTCAACACAAAATTGCTTGACAAGACCAGATTGTGAATGCATGCTTCTTACACATTCAATGATGGTCTTATTCATCCTCGCAATGACACTATTCTATTGTGGTGCTCCAAGAATAGTTCTTACTCTGCTAATGTCATTCTCTCTATAAAAAGCATCAAAAACATTTGAGCAATTTACGCCATTATCAGTTTGTAGGCGTTTAATAAATCTTTTTGTTTCTTTTTCAACCTTAGCTTTGAAAACATCAAAAACTTGATCCTCGAATGTCAAAGGATACAACCAACACTTTCCAGAATATTCATCTAAAAAGGTCACAAGATAAGAAGCTTCATAAGAGATTTAAAATCAACATGGCCACAAACATCATAACATATTATAATCCTAATGCTTTGCTTTTTCTATGAGATTCATTGCTTTTGAAGCTAATTCTACACTGCTTACCCATGGCACAATGATCACAAAAAGAAAGAGCGAAATGTTTAGAAATAGGAATAAGGTTTTGATTTTATGATACCTTCATACCATGCTCACTGAGATGATCCAAGCAGCTATATCAAATATGCATAAACTCATGCTTACCAGTCATAGCAACGATCTGCTCTATAACATCATTCCTTTGAGTCGTGCCATGAAGAATGTAGAGAGTTCCATCTTTTTGCCTCTTTAAGATTGTCATGCTACCTTGTGAAATCTTCCATGATCCACTTCCAAAAGTTACAATGAAACCAAAGTCATCCAATTGCTCAACTGAAATGAGAAGTCATGAACATGCCTCACATTTCTCAATGTGTGCTTCTTTCCATCTGGTTGCTTAATAATAACATTCCAATGCCCAAAATTTTGCAAGCATGGTCATTACAAAGATAGACAAAACCACCATCTACATTTGCGCATGATGAAAATATGAGCTTTCTAGGCAAGCATGAAATGAAGCATCAGAGTCAAAAACCTGAGTGTCTTCAGTAAATAATGATGTACATGCAACAGTAAAAGTGACCCCTTCTTCACCATCAGCTACAGTACTTGCTTCAACATTGTTATTCTTGCTCTTAGCCCTTTGCTTATTCTAGAAAGCATAACAACCTTTTTTTGTATGACAAGGTTTCTTGCAATTCCAACAAGTAACATTCTTGCATTATGACATGGATCTTCCTCTACCCTGAGATTTATCCCTATCAATACTTGATTTGATTCAGCAAGCATATGCGTAGATACTTTTCCACCCTTTCATTCAACAATGAAGTAACACCATCCTTCAAATTAAACTTGTTATTGTATTTGTCATAGTAGTAACCAAGGTATCCGAACTAAGAGGTAAAGAACTCAGCAAGAGAAAATGTAAAACTTCTTCATCGAACATGACTTTTAGAGACCTGAATTGTGCAGCAACAGGATTAAATTCACTCAAGCGTTTTCCAATTGTTGCTCCTTCTTTCATTTTCAAAAGAAATATGTTTTTCAACACATGCATTTATTTGCATCAAAGGGTTGTTCAAAAGATTGCTCCTAAGATTGCCAAAGCTTTGCAGATAATTTACATTGGCAAACATGAAATAAAATTGAGAGTGAAATACAAGGTTTAATGGCTGCCAAACATTTTTTATGAAGAATATCCAATCCCTAGTCTTCCATTCCAACAAGGATGGGCTCTTTTTCTCAAAGTGATTGATCTAATTCTTTCCCAACAAGAATCTTCTGTCAATATCTTCCATATTGACCAATTACTTGCGTTTAATTTTTCAAGTTCCATTGGCCTTGTCCATTTTAGAAAATATAACAAACAAGCACAAGAACGAAAACCCTTTTCTTCATAAATAAAGTGAATCACATAACGATAATCTCTTATACTAGTTGTTGATGATGAAGCATAAACAGTCATTGTGCATCTAATCCACATAAACATGCAGTGGAAATAACATGAAATCTTATACAATCAAAACAACAATGTAAGAAACATGGGAAAGCAATCAACCATGAAACGAAATAAGATTTACGGTAGTTTACCTATAAATCGTGGCTTACATCCATAGGAGAATGGTGTGAGGCCTTACTAATTGATTCAAGGAGATTACAAGAGAAAACAAGGCCCAAAACACCAAATTACAACAACCTTCTCTCTCCAAAACAAGGCCCAAAATAGGGCACCAGACACAACAACAAGGGGTTCTCTCTCGACCCTCTCTCTCACTAGAATGGGTCATGCAATAGGGCTTCAAAACCCAAAAAGATGACCCTCCTTTTTCACTCTCTCTAGAAAGTAAGGCACAGAAACACGGCATAAAAACCCACTGTAAGCTCCCTTTTCTTTGCATCCTTTCCTTCTCTCCTACTAAAGAAAAATAAATAAAAATTTTTCGAGAAAAGGTTAACTTAAAAAATAAATAAATAAACCTTTCTATGTGGTACTTTCGAAGCACCACAGCCATTGGATTAGTTTAAATCCAATGACTCAAGACTAGAGACAAAAGTCAATTTAAGTGTGTTGAGATCTTAAGAAGTAATTTTAAGGTGTGTAATTTCTTCCCATTTGGATTAGATACTCTTGTGAGATTGAACCACCTTTGTACAATCCAAATGGACAAAATTAAGTCCTTATAGGGCCCTATTGGCACAAGGGGTTCGAAACATGGCTTCCCTATTTTAATTTGGCATTCTAATTCGCTGTTTAATTAATTTTATTCTTTAGATTTTTTTTTAGATTAGTTGCATGATATATTTAAGCTTTTGGACATAGTTTATGTAATTTGTGCTATGAAAGTGTAATTCATAAGCAAACTTGCTTTATAGGTAATTGCCCCATAAGGGGTTGGTATTTGAGTTTATTTACAATGGTTATACAAGGTTAGAAATGGTTGCAATTGTTATTTAAAAGGATTGTAACTTATTTATTTATCTTGGTTTTTAGCAAGTGGCTTGTTGAAGGTGTTCATTTTGCCTTATTTTTTGGCATGAAAATTTGCTCTAGTCTTTGTATCCACTTTCAATGAGAAGATTGTTCCCTCCACATCGCACCATAATGGTGTTACAGAAAGATTGAATCGTACCATAATGGAAAGGGTTAGAAGCATGCTTTCGTGAACTAAGTACCCAAAGGAGTTTTTGGGTGAAGTTATGAATACGGCGTGCTACTTGATAAATCCATCTGCTTCGGCTCCATTGGAAGGGGAAGTGCCAAAAAGAGTGCGAACCGACAAGAACGTATCCTACTCACACTTGAGAGTCTTTGGATGCAAAGCTTTCATACATATACCTAAAGAGCATCGAAGCAAGTTTGATGACAAAACAACCCAATGTGTATTTTTGGGCCATGGAGATGATGAATTTGGGTACAGGTTGCGGGATCCCAAGGCCAAGAAGTTGCATAGAAGCCGAGATGTGATCTTTCGTGAAAGCTAAACATTTTCCGATTTTGATAAGGAGGAACCGCCAAAGAGGCTTGTAGATGAGTTGCCAGAAGCACAAGCCCCTTGACCCATACATGATAATGATGGGCAACAAGTTCAAGATGAAGATGACCAAGTTTGGGCACAAGCCCTTTTACCCATACTTGATAATGTATGGGTAAAGCACAAGCCGCTTTACCCATACATGATAATGATGTACATGGTTATGTTGAGCAGGGGGAGCAACCTCCTCAAGAAGAACCACCTATGGTGAGAAGGTCACAAAGGGAACAAAAGCTTCAACAAAATATCCATCATCACAGTTTATCACATTCACCAAAAGTGGTGAACCAAAATTTTTTAAAGAAGCTATGGTACATGAGCAAAATGAACAATGAAAGAAAGCTATGCAAGAAGTACTTGAATTATTTCATAAGAACAAGACCTATGAGCTTGTTGAGCTACAAAAGGAACGAAAAGCTTTGAAGAACAAGTGGGTATTTAGGTTAAAAAATGAAGATGACAATAAGAAAATGAGGTAAAAGGTAAGGCTAGTTGTCAAGGGATTCGGGCAAAAAAAGGGTGTTGATTTTGATGAAATCTTTTCTTCCGTGTTGAAGATGACTTCTATTCGCATCATCCTAGGTCTAGCTGCTAGTCAAGACTTGGAGAATGGACAGTTAGATGTCAAGACAGCTTTCTTGCATGGAGATTTAAAGGAAGAAATATATATGAAATATCCAGAAGGTTTCCTAGTGAAGGGCAAGGAGCATATGGTATGCAAGTTGAAAAAGAGCTTGTATGGATTGAAGCAAGCTCCACGACAAAGGTACAAAAAGTTCGACTTTTTTATGATGAGCCATGATTTTACTAAAACCACTGGAGAACACTGTGGTTACCTTTAAAAGCATTATGAGTCTTCCTTTATTATTCTCATGTTATATGTTGATGATATGCTTATCATTAATCATGATGCGAATTTGATTGACTAGTTGAAGAAATAATTGAACATGGCTTTTGACATGAAGGACCTAGGGGTTGCAAAACAAATTTTGGGCATGATAATCAAGCGTGATAGGAAGGACAAAAAGTTGTGGCTATCATAAGAAAAGCACATTGAGAAGGTACTTGAAAGATTTAACATGAATAATGCCAAGCCAGCCAATACACCATTAGCTAGACACTTCAAGTTGAGTGCCAAGTTATCGCCAACCAGCAGTGAAGAGAAGAAGAAAATGGAGAAGATCCCCTATGCATCAGCCGTCGGGAGTTTGATGTACATTATGATGTGCACAAGGCCTGACATAGCACATGCCATCGGTGTAGTTAGCAGATACTTGGCAAATCCAGGCATGCAACATTGGAAAACTGTAAAATGGATTCTAGGGTATCTAAGAGGCACATCTAAAGTTTGTCTATGTTTTGAAAACTCATCACCCTTGGTGGAAGGCTATACCGATGTGGATATGGCAGGAGATCTTGATAGAAGAGAGTCTACATCGGTTACTTGTTTACTTTTGCAGAGTATGCAGTTAGATGTGACAATCAAAGTGCCATTGATTTGAGCAAGAATGTTACATTGATGTGCGATACCATTGGATTCAAGATGTATTAGAAAATTGGTTGATGAAGAATAGAAAAATCCACACCAATAGGAATCCATCAGACATGATGACGAAGATAGTGCCAAAGGAGAAGCATGAGTTATGCAGAGCTTTGGCATGCATGGGTGCCATGTGAGCATCCAATATGGGGGAGCCCTCCTCATAGGTCTGGAGGGGGAGTTTGTTGGGTGATACCTTGTGGGGTTTAGCTCCATAAGGAGTGATAAGAAAAAAAAGACCCAATAAAATAATAAAATGTTAGAGAGAGAAAGAACATTGGAGGTATTTAAAAGACAAAACCCATTAGGATTTTTCACCACGGTAGAAAAAGAGAATAGGGAGAGCGTAGCAACCTCCATCCACCAGTGATCATCTCTACTAGCGAGCATCTTCCACCATTGAGTATCCTTCAACCATAGAAACAGTTGGTGTGCTCGGTGATTGCATCTCCAAGCCATTGGAAGACCATCTTTGGGTTTTTTGATGTGGGAAAGAGACCATTCTTTGAAACTTGTGAGGTAACTCTGTATCTTCTCCAAGTTATTGTTGTTCTCTTATTTGATTATAAACCTCAAGTTTTGGGTAAAAACTTAAGAAGAAACTATATATATATATATATATATATATATGAAAATGTTGAGGTTAGCCAACTAGCTTATATTTATATTTACTTATCAGCAGAATCGTGACCTTTTAGGAACTTTGAATTTTAATTGTTTTTTTAGAAATCCAAACCACTTCAAATTTTAATTGAACATACTTCTCATCAAGGCGCACCTAATAAAATTATTAAAAAATAAGTCAGAAGAAATAAATTGATCAAAATACCTCCAAAACATTTCGGGCATAGTTTAATCAATTTATATATTAGAAATATTTTTTTGATATTTTTATTAGATTATGCAATTTGTAAAGAACGCATGCCTAAAATTTCAAGTCACTTAGATCTATAAAAAAAAACTTAAAAATTAAATACGAAATGAGGATCGTGACCATCAAATCAATCCAGATTCAATCTGAGCTATGTTGATATGAGCTAGTGGGTTAACCTCAGCATTTTCAATATATATATATATATATATACATATATATAAGAAAAAGCTGAGGTTAGCCCACTGGCTCATATAAACATATGAGTCCAATGGCTCAGATTAAACTTGGGTCGATCTGATGGTCACGGATATCTGTCAGTATTTTAATTTTAATTTTTTTTTTATAATCCAAATCACTTGAAGTTTTAAGTATGTATTCTTCTCATCAAGGTGCACCTAATAAAAATATAAAAAAAAATTTACCAAAAAGTAAAATGATAAAAATACGCCCAAAATTTTTCAAAGGTATTTTC